GACAAACTGGAACAGGAAGAGATTTAAAGTACTGTACATGACAGATGTTAGAGCATATTTTGCACTGTAAAAAATCTTTACTTTTCATCAATCGAAACTAACCCTAACCCTCAGTTTCCAAAATGTTTTTAAACATGATTAAAACAATCGCTGCTGGATTTCATCTCCAGAGTGAAATGTCTTCTACTTTTTTGCTTTCCAACTTACAATCAGCTAAGAATTCAACAAAGTTCAAATGGAAAAAAAACAACAACCACCTTGTCTTTGTCTCTATCTGTGTGGCAGCTCTTGCTAGATTTTTCATTTCAAGAATTTGCAATCGCTTTTGAAAAATAAGGGAGGGGCTTTCCCTCTGGAGTGGGACACAATCCTGTGGGCTCTGCCTGCCTGTGTCCTGTGGCAAAGAAAGGACAAAGCGCGAGTCGGTTTGAGACCTTGGTGCAGCTGCTGTCCGGTGTGCGGACACTACCGAGAAAAGCCATGCTCCCGTTCTCCTTGCCTGAAAGCTGCAAGCACCGATAAGACAAGGGAAATGGGAAGACTGCCTTTATCACTGCATCAGCTGGGCAGCTCACTTCCAGCCCATCAGTGATTAAACTCATCAGGGAGAACTCTATTGCCCCTTGAATACAATTAAATCCACCACACTACTGTTTCCACTGTTCCGAATCTAATAGATAATGCCTTTGAGTTAAAAGAAAAAGAAAAATACAATGATTGAAGTGCAGTTTGCGGCAATTTGATGACACAGCAGATGAACTGCAACACACAGTACCGCGATGAGTTTCGGCGATTGAACGAAAGCTGCATCCTCAGTGAAACTGGCAGACGGTTTCGTGGGTTTTGGCATGGCTTACTGAGACACAGGGTTCTGTCTAATCTAGGCTTGAAGTGGCAACACAATTTCTCCTTGTGTGGTGTGATATCCTAGCTGTCTCTCTTCCAGGTAGCAGGCTGGTTATGATGTTATCGTCTAATAATGTACTGTATTACTGTGCACCTTCTCTACACTGAGCGCTTGGTAAGCTTGCCTTGTATTGACAATTAGTCTCCAGATTGTACGTTTTTTTCTTTATTAACCCTAGTTTAATGCACTGTCCTCCTCACATCTTAAACAAACACTCTTAGCGTTGTCTGCTGAGTGCTGGACGTACCCTCTCACAGAGACACATAAGCCTCCAAAGCTTTTCTGTGCCTTTCTATCTTTCTTTCCTCTCTCCAGACACCTGGACTCAGCACCGCTGTCATCACGTGTAGCAGCTGATTTCCCTAATACATCTGTGAAGATGCCAATTTCGTCTTGATTAGCCAGATGGGTCATTTTGTTTCTTAACTGTTTTCCCCAATTATTATGCTTTATAACTGTAATTATTTCATTATAACTGTATACCCCAATGTCCACAGTAGGAAAATAAAAAGAGCAACAGGCTGAATGGCCTGATCAAGTCTTTAACCCATCTTCAATTTTAATACAACTGGGCTGATTAACCATTCCGTATTAATTAACAGCTTAATGATATATATAACAATAGCCTGAGAAAATAGGACCTTGGTTCAATGTCTCAGAAGGACGGCGCCTTTATACAATATAGTGTCCCCATCACTATACTAGGACATTAGAGCCCATACAGACCGCAGGGTGAGCCCCCCCTGCTGGCCCCACTAACACCTCTTCCAGTAGCAATCTTAGCTTCCCAGGAGTCTCCCATCCAGGGACTGACCAGGCTCACACCTGCTGAGCTTCGGTGGTTGCCAGTTGTGAGCTGCAGGGTGATATGGCTGATTTGTGAGTTGTATTAAATGGAGAGCTGTTATTGTAGTTATATCAGGAAGGTACCTTCTTACAGGGTGACATGGCTGCTGGCATTAGAATAGCCTTTCCCAGATTTTACAGCTGGGTGAAGATGTTCAAGAGGGACAATAACTTCCTGTTTATTGGGGTTGTTAGATCTAGGTACTGGGGGGCCTAGTACACCACTGATAGTTACAGCCTTCGAGCATGATAACCAAAGTCAGAGTAATGTCTCCATTAATTTCTGAATTTAAGCCTTCAACATCAAAACTTAAAAAAGAGCAGTTTTTGCAGCGGTACTGTACATATCTGAACAATTAAAATTGGAAGCGTGAACTGATATGATGCCAATAGTAACAGAAAGTTTGACTTTTGAACATGTGCAGATCCTCTTTTGTCACATTTCAAAAGACTTCAGCTGTTGATCCCCTTCACCAAAGTTTCTAGTGACTGATGCTGCTATGTGGTATTGTTAGAGAATTTGCTGATAACATTTCCAGTGTCTGCAGAAGTAATGAAACATTGCATCTCACATTCTTAAATTGTACTACTGCAGACTTGCAGGGTACCAACACACAGCTAAGTTTGTCGCTGTTCTACCAAGATTTGATTGGGAGGGTCTCTTGCAAATATGAGGCAAACACATATAATGTTGAAGATTTTTTAGATTGCTTTAGATTTAGATTTAGATTGCTTTTGCTTTTTAATTCGTGACATCCTCTCATTCATTTTTAATCACTAAAACAAGATAGTATACATAGAAATTCTAGCATAGCAAACTGTACTAACTATGGACTCATTTCTAAAGGAAGCAACAGTGGTTGTTAAGGATGCTTGGGAACCTCGGACTGTTTTGATTTACACTTAAATGAGTATGGGTGTATAGCTTTGGTACTGGTGTCTCAAAGATATTGAAACGTGAGTTAGGACAGACAGTGGTTTCATTTGTCTCTGTTGTATATCACAACAATTTGTTTTATTACTGTACTGATACTGGACAAGGAGTCCAAGGCATGTGTAAAATTTCCAATAGCTTATAAGCACAGAGAAAAATTGTAAGAGAGAGTGACGTACAGTATTTTTTTAGAAGGGTATTGTAAAGCCATTCTGGAGACACAGTCTGCCTTGCACAGAGAGAGAGGAACAGAGTAATTTCCATCTGCTAATCCTCTGCAGACGGTCAGGGTGCACAGTGCTCTGATTGCAGTTATTAATATGGAAATACCAAACAAGGCATTTGCATTTAATCAAGTGCTCTCGACCGCTAACATTCTTCTGCTGCAAAAAGCAAAAGTCATGTTGGGCAATTCATCTGTAAAATAATATTCCCCCTTCTTTTTTTTTTGCCTTGAATGTAAATTCTGTAGCATTCATCTCGCACTGCACAGAGAGAGAGAGGAACAGAGGAACATGTCGCACTGGTGCTGCTCAGAGCAGTGCGCTGCACCAAGAGATAAAGTCCAGACATGGCCCCCTAGTTCACAAAGAGCTCATGTATACACTCGCAGGAAAAGGAGATAAATAACAATAAAATTGGACAACCAAGGTCCCCCAGTAGCGCCGGTGCCCTGGTTCAATTCCAGACCTGGGGTGCTGTCTTTGTGGAGTTTGAATGTTCGTAATAGATTTCCTCTGGGTGAAGACATACTGGTAGGTTGATTGTCTTCTGGGAAAATTGGCTCTGGTGTGAGCATGCGTGAGTCCGTGTGCGCCTTATAATGGGCTGGTGTCCTGCCCATGAGGCATCCTGCC